TGAAGGAGAGTTAGGCCTACATCACGTGTTGAAACGTATATGCGTGCTGCGATTACTTCGGCTGTAGAACACAAAATGAATTTGAAACATCTACAGGGCGGATTGCCGTCTAATCCCCAACTTTCCAATCGTGTGACTCACTCGTATTTGTTTAGCCAGTAGTCCACTATTTTCTTCATGTACTCGGGCTTGATACCAAAATGAAACTTGGTACCTTCGACACTCTCAAACCATCGAGTTCTCCTGAGGCGCTCTGTGGAAAGGAGAAATGAAAATTTAACACAAATATTACAGAAGAAGAAAAACCCTCACAACAAACTACATAAGATGGCGTCAGTCACATAAACAAGGTTCAAGTAGCCTCGTGTCCCTTAACCACACCTCCTCTTTCCCTTGTGATCCGAAGCATAGCACCTACCAAACTGTGCACCAAACTGCAATAAGCATGCACCTACTGAAATCGCACCTTTTAGATCAGCTAGATCCGCGTCTGGGAAACGAATGTTGAATCTCTTAACAGACGTGTCTTCTTCCTTCTTAGGCTTGTCACCTCGTCCCCACCATCCGTCACCAACCTCTGGTGGATCAGGCGGCGATCTGAAGAGACCGCTCATGTAGGCGATACCCAGCCCCAAAAGAAGTACGGTGACCGCTAGTTTCCATACCATGGTGGAGGTTTACAACTGTTTTCACTTACAGTGCCAGTACGCGTTTAATTCTAGAAAACGATTTACAAAATATGAGAAAACGATTGCTGTATTCCAATACAACATCCACAACGCAGGTTGTTTTTACGAGCCTCTAAATGGGCCCTGTATGAAGGAATGCTGAAATACGGAACCGGCTTTACCGTGCAAAAAAAACGACGGTGATCATAATCAAAAGAAAAACTCATGAAAGTAGAAAGCTTGAAGAATCCCTTTCCAAAAATATACACTGCAGCTGCTTTCTAAGTTGAAGAATTCACTGTCTGACGCAAAGCTATATACTCAATCTGGCCCACATGTATAGCTCCTCTACAGTGATGATGAAGTAACTTTCTACCCGTAGGCGAAATCCCAAACAACATTTTAGCTGTACATGTACATGTAGGCCTATATCGACTGTACAAATAAATGTTCCAAAGAGATAACATCAGCTACCGCAAACACCTTCGAATCAACCAAAAATTATTCTATCCTTATCCGGGTCGCTATATTTTTTCTGGGAAAAAAAATAACCGAGCAGGAACAGGGCTGAATTAGTGTCCTGTACACGCAGGGTACTAACTTAAATTTCCTGACCCTCATTTCGGCGCGGAAAAGGAACAGACGCAGTCCACATCCGTGTGGTTTAAAGTTCACACCGTCACAAAAACTACAAAGGTGTCCACATAAAATAAGAATTAAGGAAATCTACAGTGTCTGGTGCCTGTGTTCACCAAATGACTCATCAGTAACCGCCAATCATAGAGTACACTACGTGCCAATAGGTAAAAGCTCTACTGATTATTCAAGGGGTAATACAAATATTAAATATCACGCAAAAGGCAACATAATGTTAATATCAGTTTTAAAGGATTCAGGAAATTTTTTTCTTAGAATCACTGTTTGTGTATCTCTGTACTCTTCACCCATGTACATGTATGAAGACTGTTTGACATCTTTTTTGAGCTACGTACTGAACTGAACGGTGCACATTTTCAAACATTAAAAATTCTGGACATTTCTGGACAAGTGAGGGCGCTTTTGCTTAGATGTAAATCCAGGAAGATGTGGTTCAGGTTGCATTTGTTTTCATGTTCGCATTGTGAACCCCAAATTTGCTATCTGGGAACATTACTGTGAAAAGGATTTTTGCTGGATTATTGCCATATCCATACACAGGAAAAATTGCCAAAGAAAATGTAACCTTCCATAGCAGTGGTTAACAATAGCAGTGGTTAACAATAAGATTTTCTGTGCACAAATCAGTGCAACATTGAGATTCAGTGCCTTGGATGGCGTCATAGTTCTGCTCATGAATATGCAAATACATTACCATAAAAACCAAAAAAGCATCAAAATATGGGTTGACATTCGAAAACAAAGAGATGCAAAGATGCATTTTCTATTTTTTTGTTCCTTTTAGCTTCATGTTCTTCATTTCAGCGGGCGTATACCGGTACCTTTATATAACTATTACAAGTAAGACACAAACTTGGGCAATTCATCCGCTCGTGCCACTCAGTGATGACAAGAACCTGAAGATAATTCTTCAAGATAACTTGCTTGACTGGACGTGGCCACTTGGCTTGGAAATAAAACTCCTAATCGTAAAATCGGGGTCAAATCCCGCGATTGGCATGCCTGTGACCTAGGGCAAGTTATTATACCTTATACTCCATGTGTCTTTCTATACCCAGGAGTAAAAGTGGATACTTCAAGAGAAAATCGAGATGATTATTGTTTGACAAGCCATTTCTGCCTGAAATTGCCACTATCGAGCTACATACTCCCCAGAAAACTTGAAATATGGTGATTCCGGTACATTACTAATGAATCACCTCAGTCAACATTTCTGAGAATATACTGGATCACCCGCGAGGTTGATGAGTACTTTGCGGATGCAATAATTGAGGGCATATCCTGTCGTGTGCAACTGATCTTGATCGAAGGTCATCATCATAATTATACTTTGGAGGTATGGGTCGTATATCAACGGTTTGCGGGCAAGGTTCATTTGCTTAGGCCTACTTCAAGTTTGAAAAAGATTATTAATGGCAATTAACCGTAAATATGTTTCTTTGTTGGTTTCACTCAATTTAAGTGCAGCATTTGACCAGGATTTTGCTGGATAGACTTCATAATACCAAAATTAGGTTGGGCGGCCCACGTGTTTAATTTTTATTTGACAAATAGATCACACGTTTTGGTTAAATACACTTTCTGAAAAGTTTCATCTGGGAAGGTGTGTGCCGCAAGGATCTTTTTCTGGGTCCATTACTTTTTATAATTGTACACAAGTCAGTTGTTCGGTATTGTTGAGTGGCACCATCCACAAGTTCAGTGCTTTGCTGATGACACACAACTTCCTTTATCTTTTTCCCCTGATTCTGACGACAGCCAGAATTTGACAATGTCCAGTATGGAGTCTTGAATAAGTGATTTACGACAATGGATGATTGCTAATGGGCCGTGTATAAATGATGGCAAATCTGAATGCAATGGTTCCCGACAGCAATTTGCTAAGGTGACTATTAATAGTGTCTGAGTTGGAGATTCGGTGGTTTTACCTATACTGCATATTTGGTTCGTAACTTGGGAGTATTGTTGACGATAATCTGTCGATGAACACCCACATTGCTATAAACTTGTAAAACTTCATTTGCACAATTTTAAGTTAATTAACTAGAAAGTTTCTGTCCCGAAGAAGCACGGAGATGCTATAGTGCAGGCATTTATTACTTCAGCTTGCTAGACTATTGCAATAGTTTATGTTACTGTTTACCAGACACCCATGATAAGTAAACTTCAATCTGTTCAAACTGCCTTAGCCAGGTTGGTGAGTCTGAAGACCCCTTAGTTCAGCCACGTGACGTTACTCCTGTATTAATTGATTTGCACTGGCTCCCAGTTAGGATCAAGTTTGAAATATCATTGTTGACATATAAAACTTTTACATGGAGTAAGTCCGGAATATCCAAGTTAATCCACGGTATGTTCGACCACATTCTCGTTACAGTCTGCGTGGCTCAGATAATGGCCAGTGTCCTCCTTTCCTATCCCTCAGTTCGTAAGCGGCGTAACAACCGGGGATCGTGTCTTTGCTGATCCTACATTGTGGAATAGTGTGCCGTACAATGTCAAACGTGACGGTGTGCCAGTAGTGTGCAGACATTCAAAGTGTTCGAGTTTTAATGGCTATTTTAAGGCTCAGCATATTCCAATATCAATGTACATGTATACTGTATTTTAATGTTATGTCTAATTGTACATAATGTTATGCTGTAATGTTTGTAAACTGTGTGGAATGCTTATTTCAACATATTTGTAATAAAACCTGGGCGGTACATACTGTAATTATTACATACTGGACTATTATCGCCAGCTTGGCGCCTGTACTTCACTTTATATTTGCATATGCCATTTTGGATTTTCTATTTCAAATTTTGCTTATACCTACAAGGATCTTATTTGTACTTTTTGTACCTTAGGCCCAAAGCAAACCTTAATTTTTTTTATGCAGTATGCTGCGCGTCTGTCACCTTATACGTTCAGTTTTTATGAAGAGTGTGGATACCAGCAATTCTGATAAAAGCAAATAAGCCCTTGAGGAGATCGCAGCATAAATTGGTTCTTTCGAATTTTTTGGCCTATACGGGAAATCATGTATTGGCACTTGATGTACATGTATAGGCCTACCAACTGCCAGCATCTTTGACAAAGCACTTTCACAAAACTAGCAGAGAGAGTTTTCAGGCTGCAAAAAAGGAATTATTGTCCTTGCTCAGTGATTATTCAAATTCTTAAACGCGCGTCACTCAGTAACTGAATGCATGCCCTGAGTCGAACAGAAGGCCTTTGCGTCACGGCCCAGCTGTTGACCCTGTTTTCTGGCAGATTGCAAGTAAAGTAGGCCTATGTGACAGGGATTTCAGGATAGCTCCATGGTTTGCCAAACTTCAAGTCATGATTGTGACATTGAAGAAGAAACCTACCTCGTTCTGTGCAGACTGCACCCTGAAATGATGAGACACTACATGTAGTCGTGTAACTCAATTAGACCGGCACCCCGGTGAACTCTGTACTATGTGTAGGGAGGCCTGTGATATCTCATGCCCACTTAGGCGCCGGTACTGATGTCCAGTGCCAGAACTTGCGATACGAGATACACTCAAATTCACTTTTCATAATTCGGGCAGCACAAATGCGCTAGTCATGGAACGATTACTTCGATTGGAGACCAGATTTCAGACCGTCCTTCGTGAATGATTTGTACTGTTTGTAGTCTGTTCCCGGGCTTCGTGCCATAGATCAGCCAATGTTAATTTGCATGTACTCGGACCCTTGGAGCGTACATGAGTTACGCGACTGCCACCTTCAGCATTATGAATCAGCAAGCAAGCCTATTATTAATGTAAAGTCAAGGCCTTTTGCGTATTCTCCCCCCTTGCTGCACTGGCAAAGGTCCCCGCGGCGACGTTCCACTTCAACGATATTTTGAGTTGACCTCTGTCATTATTTAATTTAACGCATGCTATTAGTCGAAACTGCGCGCCTCTGAAGTATCGCAGACGAATTTAATTGATCAAAATTTCCTTACCAAAATCGCAAGCGTTTGTTACTGTCAGCTATCAAGTAACAATCATCTGTTTACTTAAAGCCATGCTTAAAGCTAATTACGTGACTGAGGAAAACTCGCGCAAGTTTAAAGTGAGCCATGGGGGCCTAAGGAGGGGCCTTCCTCCATGGCAATATAATAAACGTAAACGGGATGCAACGAAATGGACATCGTCTCTGTGCTGTAGAATCTATTATCTACTCTGCAAAGCCCCCCTCAGGGACGGGACACTGAGATTAAAAAAATTGTATCCAAGCAAATATAGGAAACTCTCAAAACACGCACCCCCCGGCCCCCCCTACGTGCTACAACTATATGTTGGGCTCATGCTAGTACAGACTAGCCAGTCTATAAAAATGGCTGCGCCCATGGATAGGAAGATGCTTTACATTCCGAAACAAACCTGTATTTTGTCGATAGTTTTGCTTCACTCACTTTCTCTCTGCCACTGCGAGCAATGTAGCATTGACGACAACTCGCATGCAGAGGACAAATATTTGGGCAAGGATAATTTGTCAGGAAAAACTTCAGGAAAGAATCCAGTCATGGGCATGGCGATTGCCCGTGCCCAACACGAAATCGCATTCGCAGCACAGACGATCAAATGCCGTCTCTTGTTGCAACGTTTGATGAGTGGCGCTTTGATGAAAAACAGATTCTCATGGGTACGATAAGTATTTAAAAATAGGCAGAATATAACTTGCTGACTGTTTCCTGTCAGACGATAGGCAGACAGGCATGGACAGGTTCTCAAAAAAAAGCCGTGTATTTGTTTTCTCTTTAATTTGTGTTAATTTTTTTACATGTAAATTACTGATATGTGTTTAGGCACAATAACATTTCAATGTTTTTTTACCCAATCACAGAAACATTCCCAGTGGATAAAGTTGAAGAAAACTATGTCCGCCAAGTGAAGAATGCCATATTTTCTGAAGTGTATCCAATTCCAATGAAATCAATGACACACCTGGTTGCAATATCAGAGCCTGCAGCTCGAGACATCTTGGATCTTGAGCCAACACATCTTTGGAATTCAGATTTCTTCAAAGCTTTTGTCAGTGGGAATACTTTTCTGTCAAACTCAGTACCACTTGCCCATCGTTATGGAGGCCACCAGGTATATAAAGAGCAATTGTGCTCTCTTAGTTTTTAGCATTTTTCAAATTAAAGACCATTTACACAAGTGCTACGTTTTGTAAAAGTGCATGAATTATTGACGAGTTCCCTGTTGTAGAAGGCACTTCAGTGGCTCAACATAGATCAATAATGATGTGGAGAGGTTTTTCTTTTTCTGTTTCTTACCTCACTGTTATTGTATTGCAATGTTCACAGTTTGGATATTGGTCAGGGCAGCTTGGAGATGGAAGAGCAGTGATGCTGGGTGAATATCTAAACAGGTACAAGTACTTCATATTGTAAGAGTGAAGAATATTCCTCCCTTATTGCAGCCACATGATTTTTCTCCTTTATTGGGTGGATGCAGGGATTGGCTATCTATCTATCCTATTGGCTCTTGACCTATAGGAATGGCTAAACTGCCTAATCTATGCATGTGATATTGTAGCGCCATCGATGAAAGGTCAAGCAAACGGTGTAAATGGAATGTGGAATATTCATACCTACAGGAAAGGAGAGAGATGGGAACTGCAGTTGAAAGGTTCTGGCCTGACACCATACTCAAGACGTGGTGATGGTCGGGCTGTACTGAGGTCATCTGTCAGGGAGTTTCTCTGCTCGGAGGCCATGCATCACCTGGGCGTTCCGACCTCCAGAGCCCTCGGGTTAGGGATTGAGAAATGGATTACATACATGTAACTTCCTGGGCATTCTGTGGAATCTCCAGTCCTCTAAGGTCCATCACCGTCCAGTAAATTGACAGTAATTAAATAATTTCACAGGTTTTGCAAGGACCAGAGAAATATTCTTCCAAGGAAACTTCAGTCTTGATACCACTTTCGCACCTGTTCTCCGGATGTCACTGGTTTGCTTGATTAGTTTTTATTATTTTTTTCAGCCTGTCAGTCAGTTCAGATCCTGTTTGGAGGGACCAGTTCTACGATGGCCATCCCAAACAGGAACAAGCTGCTGTGGTCCTTCGACTAGCTCCCTCCTGGTTCCGTATAGGTTCCTTGGAAATCCTCACTGCCAACCAAGAGGTTTCCCTTTTACGGTAAGTCGTTGCCTTTTTTCAACTGTGTTTTCTGTTTAAGAAACAATGAGATGTCAAGCATTACCCAACAGTGAAGTTTTGACTATTGTTTATTGGAGGTTTGATGTCATTTTTGAGAACCAGTGCCGTTTAAGAATAAATTCCATCACTGAAACCAGAGTCAAGATCTTTGCTCTTCGCAGATCGTGTTTTATAATGTTATTTTGCAGACAGTTGACCGACTTTATAATCCAGCACTATTTCCCACAAATCGAAAGCCTGGACGATAACCGCTACTTGGCTTTCTTCACTGAAGTAGTCTCTCAGACAGCAGACATGATTGCAAACTGGATGTCAGTTGGCTTTGCTCACGGTAAGAGAATGCTGTGATAAGGGACGTTCTGACTCATTCAGTAGAGTAGATAAAAAAGTCTGATTTGAAACTTTGCACGGTGGAGGCTGGACCAAGAGAAGGTTTGCGGGTACTCAATGACTCGATCTGTTCTTTAAGAGTAAACTCCACTTTCAAGGGGAGTGCTTTGGTCATCCTTAGCAGAGATGGAGTTGAGCGCTGACGTATAAACACCTAGTGTTCTTGGTGTTCAAATATAATCTACATGTATCTTTCGTAGACTCCAAGCTTTCTACCCATGAAACACAATCAAATACCGGCAAAGCTCTTGTTGCGTTACACTCAAAATGTTTACTGGAACTAATCTTCAGAGAGTTTGTTGACGTGGGCAGTCTTGCTCCACAGTAAGGCAGTCTTAAAATTGCTTGTTTCTTTCATGAACACGTCTGAATCTACATCTACATGTAATTCCAATCCGAATTTTAAGAAGTTATTCTGCTTGCTATGCCCTTAATATTTCCCAGGAGTCATGAATACAGACAATTTCAGCCTCCTGTCGATAACCATCGACTATGGACCCTTTGGCTTTCTTGAGGCTTACACCCCAGACTTTGTCCCAAATACTTCTGATGACGAGGCCCGATACAGCTATGAGAAGCAGCCGGACGTTGGGTACTTCAACTTGGACAAACTGAGACTGGCTCTACTCCCTTTGGTCGATGAACACCAAGCCAGGCAGTGAGCTATGCTATATTCTAGTTACATGAACTTTTGCTTACGTAGAGAACCTAAAGTCAAAGACACGCATTGCATTTGAGACTCCTTAAGACCGTCACAAGACCCTTGGGATCTTTACAGGACTCCCAGACTGGATTAAAGTCTCAAGCTTTTCAAGTGAAAGTATTTCTTTGCATTCACCCACAAGTACTTGTAACTGGTCGTGAGACTCGGTCTTGTAAATGGTTCAGTGATTACATTGACTAAATTACAAGTAAAACCTTCTATTTTGTTGGATATTGAATTGGTTTGTGGTGATACCTGTAGCCTAATGGGTTCAGTGACTGTTTACGTCATCTGTGGTTTTAACTAGCTTCATGTTATAGTCCCAACCAAGCTTATAGCTGTAACTCTTACTGAACTAGCTACAATGGGCTTCTATGTTGCTGTGCAGAGAGTCGATATTTTGGCCCTACAAAAGGAATCCTCCTATCATTGTGTCATTCTTAAGTCCTAGTCATTTTGATGCAAAACTTGTACAAAAACCATGCACATTGATTTCTCCTTAATAACCAACTTCCTATAAATTTGGTGAGAAATTTTCAGTTGCACATATTTCTGACAGGCTGTTTCAGATTCTTCAAGGCTACGCCGACATATACAAAAGACGCTTCATGGAATTATTTCGCAAGAAGTTGGGGCTATCAGGAGAAGATCAGCAGGATGAATACATCGTGGCACTTCTGTTAAAGGTATGGTCTGGATAAAGTGATTCATACTGTGGAAGCCCTAAATTTCAGTATCCAAGACATACTTGTCAGTGTAAAGATTCACTTGTAACAGTCCTTGCTGGGACAGTACAGGCCAATGTTTGAGTCCAGTTCCCTTTGTTTGAACGAGTGGAGAACTGATTTCTTTTCTTACCAATCATGCAGCTGTGAGTCTATTGCAAAATGGCCCTAATGCTCATGTGTGCTTCTTGATGGACAGAGGCAAATGCCAGCAAAGTGACTTGCTGAAGGACATAGCAGATTGTGAACAGTAATAGATCTACTGGCCTCTGCTCAAAGCCAGCAGCCAGAGGCAGAACACACGTGTTTTGGCTGCTTTTGTGCTGTCGGCTTTGCATACAACGCAATCAAAGATTGATGCTGTTTCCCGTGTTTGCATTTCGAAAAAACAGCTGATGGAAGACACCCATGCAGATTTTACAATGACATTCCGTCAGTTAGGGATGCTGTCTGTCAACGACCTCGCCTTGAACAGCATACAAGATTCTCTGTGGGCTCTGAAGGATTTGCAGCAGCACAGCAGGTTTTCAGAGTGGATAAGAGTCTACACTTCTCGAGCTGGACATTCTGCCAAAGAGACGCTGAGGAGAGCAAGTCAAATGAATGGTAATTTCACAGTTCCTATCTTTATTGAATTTCTCAGAAAGCTCACACTTAGACTGTGTTAAAAGCATCCATTTTTTTATGCTGCTTTTTTAGGTCTTATATTTTTCCATGAGACAAACGCTGCGTGAGACTAGAGGGTGTTGTTGATTTCAATGTGAATTTGTTGACATTTCATTTTCAGTTTATTAATTACACAGCAGAAACAGTAGTCCTTTTGTTGGTGTCATAATTAACTTGGTCCATCGTTACAGATAGCTCATCACATAATTATTTTAACAAAATTTGCAAGTTTAACTGCGCATTTATTTCCACTCTTAAATATGACAGCTTCAATTGTATAGAAACTGTACCATTTATGTTTGAAGTTGTTTTCATGTCGCTCTGTAGCTGTTAATCCCAGATACATCCTCCGCAATTGGATGGCCCAAGAAGCTATCAGTAAGGCCGAGAAGGGTGACTACTCGGGTGTCAACTTCTTACTGGATGTCCTCCAAAATCCCTATGAGGAACAGGAGGCAGCGGAGACAGCCCAGTATGCCCAGCAACCCCCAGAGTGGGCCAAAGATATACGAGTCAGCTGCTCTAGCTGATGATCGGTTGACAGCCGGTCACGTTGACACTGCAGCAGGTGTATCCCACACACCTCGTAGGAGCACTCTTCATCAGAGGTACCAGGGTTTCCTGTGGCTGCTCAGGCTTCTTCAATGCTCTCACATCCCCACTTCTCAAGTCCTCTGGAGTGTTAATATATGTTAGTTGAGGTCTCCTTCTCGAAGCCGCTGCCTCGTGCTTGCCTCCCCCATTGTCATTATGTACGGTCTGTCAGTTGCCATGGTTGCACAAATTTGAAAAGGCTTTTAATTGAAGGAACACTGTGTGTTTGTATTTTAGTCGTCCAGCTATTGGGAATTGAACCTAACCTTATTACCTTCAAAATGTTTATTCCATTTTGCTGGAGATATTTTCCGTTGGTATTTATCGTGAAATTTCTCACATTTCCCTGCCTTGCCTGTACAGTCAATGATTTCTTGCATGTGTTAAGTACCTCAAGTATTTAAACAAAGACAAACCAAGAAACTTCAAAGATAACACAAATACAAGTCCATTTAGGTATCAGTTTCAAGTACACTTCTCGCATATATAATGACATTTACAGATATCTGTTCAAATAAAAACACTAGTTTTCCATTTACTGTTTGTGATAAAATACGGCACAAGCATTGTGGGAAAACAGCAGATAATGAAGCACAGCGATGATGCCCCACGACCCATGTGCTTCTCATTGTTTTGTTTTGCTTTTGAAGGCAAATATTGGCAAAAAGGCTGGTTGTTATAGGTCAAGTGTTTTCGGGAAGCATTCAAGCGTGTAGACAAAGTCATGTGTAACAAGCACATAGGGGAGCATTTTTGCAAGCATGCATACAGCGTTTAAATACAGTTCTCTGCTTTGAAGACAAAACATTGTTTAAGTACACGTAGTATTAAGCTTAACAGTCCCAGATCCTCCGAGTTCAATATGATTTTACATACGCCTAGAATTGAGTATAGGCGCATGTAAATGGATGCAAACTGGCATGTATTTCTCATGATTAAGTAGGCTGTCTTGTCTTCCATACATGTAGTTCATAGTGGAGGGAACCAAAGCTGCGCTTCAAAAGATCCTCTTTTAGGTAAAGATAGGTTTCAAATTTTTTATCCAAAGCATGAAGCATCAGCATCATAAAAATGCCTCACTTTCCAGTTTCAGAAAGGCTTAACCCTTGAAGGAGCTGGCTTTTATCATTATTTATCAATCAGAGTTGCCTAAATGAAATGAAAAAAGTGCCCCCCTCCCCAGGATTCGAACCCAGGTCTTGGGAATAGAAGTTCTGCAGTTTTGGCCACCTGGCCATCAATGCTTTGTAATTCGGTGCTTTAATTTTAAATATACACGTATGAAAGACTGGTTTGTACTTGGTATCAAACCAGAAATTGGAACTTGAACCCTTCGCGTAGTTCTTCGGCTCAGGAGTATGCCATGAAACCGCCAAAATGGCAAGATATGAAAACCTGGTTTACAACGGTGTCTCTTTAAACTTGGGGAAGACCAATATTCAGACAGTTTGCTTGTGATGTTGACGACTGCTTGAACTCAGGACCTACATGTACAGGGCTTCCAGAGCCATTGAGTCCCATGCTTTTCAATTGGAAGATGCTTTATGTGTTGAGGTCATGCAGGTTTGGTTTGTGAATTTGTCTTGGTGTCCTCGAAAAACCTAAAGGTGAAAAGGTCAAAGGCACTGTTAAAATGCCTTGTACTGGAGGTCTCTGGTGAAAGACTACGAAAGCTAAAAGAGGCTTTTACCCTCAAAACTCTGGTTTTATTTCGTTCATGTTTTACAATGGGCAGTACAGTCCATGGTTCATCTAGAATACAGAAATAATGAAGTGAACATGACTATACAAGAATAGGAACCCTACAAGTACATGATCAGTCACGATGCATTTGTCTTGTTTCTGACCATCATATTGGGAAAAAAATATGTTTTGGAATACCTAAGTAACAAAGTAGCAAATGAAAGGTGTGTCTTGGAGGTTGCTAAGCCATTTTGCTTTCTGGTCCTATCAACCAAAATTGATTAGGACAACTGATAATTTACTCAGTGAAACATGTAATTACCATATTAATCTGAAACATTACAATTTTCTCACATCCCTTTCCGTTTAAATTTCTTACAGATTAAATAACCCAGGAGGAATTTCACGGTGGGCCACAATTTCACTACATACGTATGCATCACACAACCGTTAATCAATTAACTTACATTACTCATTACAAAAAATCTGTATACCAGGATGAAACAAAACCTTCATCCAGCATGTCTTAGCACCATACCAAAATTCAACTCAATTCATGACTGGTGCAACTAGAATAGCCCTTTAAATGCCTATTCCATTTTTTATGTACATTTCAATTACAGCTTATAAAAAACACTGTACATGGCTTCAGAGTCTTCCAAACTCTGACTTCGTATTAAGCTGTTGTCTAAAAGAAACGTACTACATTTACATTTGTCACAAGAGCTTTGTTTTGGCAAAAAATATATATATGTAAAAAAAAAAAGAATGTACTTGTGGTGGAATGTAATAAAAATATATTTTGTATGGAAAACAAAACGGTGAAGGCATCAAGGTCCATACTAGTATTGCTTGTGACTTCTTCCTGCCTACATTATCATATTTTCATTCCATTTTTTAATTTTTTGTATTTGTTCTTTCTCTATTTTACACTCACAATTTTAACAATGGGTGTCTGAAATCAACTCCTTGCCCTTGAAACTAAATGGCGTTAAGTGATTTAACTGAAACATTTGCATTACAATTTTTCCCCAAAACATTTTCTCCCAATTTGGATTCACAGAATTAATTAACTTTCCAAGAAGCCATATTCATTGTCTAAAAAGTTTGAAAACTAAAATTTGTTCTAAGTTCCAAATCAGAAAAGGTCGCTTGCCAGATAAATCACAAACGTATCATTATTCATGGCTTTTACTTGAAGCCTCCAGCATTTCCAGTCAATCACGCAACCTGTCTGAGATTTGAAATATTCCTTACCTGCAATTTTTAAGGAAAGGGTTTCAAGGAACCTTTGCCTCTACTAGAAGGACATTATTATGAACATCTTGGAGAAAGTTCAAAGATGAACTATGATCAGTCATCTTTACAAGTCTCTAGACTGTTGGACTTCATTACTGGTGGGCAAATGGTTGACTAGCTGGAACCAGCCTACGAAATTTAGTCAGGTCACTTGCATCAGCAACCACTACTTTGACTACCAGTCTTTAAACGGATCCGCTTAGACAATCCTCAAGAACTGCTCGTGCAGTGAATCATTAATTGTGATACTGAGAAATAGCACAGACTGTGCACTATGGATAATACTGCCGTTGTTGGATTGTCTTCTGTAGTTCATGCTTCATGATAATAGCTTTCTACTGAATATGCATCGTACACAGGAATTTAAACTTACATTGGAAAACACTAATCTTGAATACTGAGTGGCACGGACTATTCCAGAACCTTGGTCAGGTTCTTGATGGCCTTGTTGGAGCCTTTGGAGGTGCCAAGATATGTACCGCAGGTGATGCGCATGTGGCTACGATTGACTTCGTGAATTTCCCTCAACCTGTCCAGCTCCATACGATCCCAGTCTTGCTTGGTACGCTCATAGTCAAACTTGATGCGCTCCTGAGCATTGCTGCTGTACTGGGTCTTCAGGGTGTCTCTGAGAGGTGGGGCGTAAGATGAAAGGTCAGAATCAAGTCGACTCTAATGCAGAGGAGCCTCAAGTACATGTACCTTATATCAGCCAAAATCAAGCCTTTCTGCTCAATTTTATGTCACTGCTAACTTAAGTGTCCAATACGTCGTAATTAATCACAGCAATAGCACACATGTTTAATCTCTGAGGAAAAAGATAGTTACATGTAGATCAGTGGCTCAACACAGATCTCTGTGTGCATGCTACCTCTGGCATATCCACCGCATGAAATGGCACATGAGCAATAGCATAAGCTCAGGTAAGCACAAATTTGGGACAGAGTTACCTATTACTCATAATGACATTGTCAAGTGGCTGCAATGAAAACGGGCCCTGACTTTTAGTTAGGATGCCCTGCCACTTCAATGAGGATAGCAATGTCCCACTTTAAGTTTGTTTTAGTACCAAAAACATGTATGTACGACTATATTGGGTGACCCATGTCCCCGAGCCCAACTTTGAGAGGTGATCAATGCCCACAGTTTTCATCAATACCGCCCATATTAAACATGTTAACAAGCCAAACTGAACAATATGTGAAATTCTACACCTGTCAGGCACTTATAACTTTTTTGCATTGAATTACCTCAATCTGGGTACGTCACCCCAGTCGAGCTTCTTGTTAGGATCTTCTGTCTTCCTGAACTTCACCACTGGCCACTTGGGTAGTCTGGTGCTGCCCATCCCGTCTTTTCCACCCTTGAGACCCTGACTTCTTGGTCTGTGTCATGCAGCATATCACAAATCCAATCAGGGATGTTGAGATAAAAGCTTGAGATCTAAACATCAATAAGCCGTTTGCTGACTTAAAGTTGAATAAATCTGGTACACCGAGTTATCTGATCGCACATAAACATAATTTGATTTCCCAGTCTACAGACACTGTTGCTATACCTCATGATTCAGGGCAAGCTTTTGCATAGCGACTGCCATCTGTGGAATTGACTGGTTCCTTTAAATTTTGTGCCCTTCTTATCAATTGAAAACAGTGTATTGGTGCAAGACATCTTTCATGTAAGCAAACGCTTATAGCTACAGTGTCTTTAGTATGGAGAATTCAAATTGTTATGTGTATGTGCAATCAAATAAACCCAGTGTACCAGGCTTTATTCAAATTTAACCCACAAAAGGGTTACTTGTAGGTGAACAAAGACATTGGCAAGATCAGGATGTACTTACGAAAGTTTAGGATCCATCGATGTTACTGGAATTGGAACAGAACCTGGCACTAGGTCGACATTTCTTGAGGAAAAATACAAGGGAAAAACTCTGATTTACTTTTTACCCACCTGGCACTAGGTCGACATTTCTTAAGGAAAAATACAAGGGAAAAACTCTGATTCACTTTTTACCCACCTGGCACTAGGTCGACATTTCTTAAGGAAAAATACAAGGGAAAAACTCTGATTCACTTTTTACCCACTGAAAAGAAATCAAGTTGAAAGTAGGAAAGGTGAAATGGGAGCAGCCAGTGGGGACGAAAACCACAATGAAATAAAACTTGGCAATGTTTCTACCACTATTTATATTTTCCGAGTTGCGATATTTAGAGACTTACACATCCATGTTGTGTGACACCTCAGGATCCACCAAGCCGATGGCAGTCTTGCGAGTGATGTACCCATGCCGAACATGAGGAGGCTGGAAAAAGGGAACAAGGGCAGTCGTTTCACAGACCAAATGAACATGTGACTAGATAGTGACTAGTAATTTTGTAGGCAAAAACTGATACATTTTGAACACAATATAACAATTGACACTTATTTTAAAGCAGTTTGAAATGTCAGACACAAGATTCAACTGTCAGAATGTACGCATATGTAGCTCTTAAACATTAACTGACAAAATGACTTATATTTTCATTGGATCACGTCATCAAGCGGCTTTAACCATGAGAAGAGACTTGTGTTTAAAAGTTGATTTGTATATCTTATTCCTTTTCAGAGCGTACACATGACAAATCTCGATCCGTGCACTTACCAGACTAAGAAGGAATTGCACTGTGTAGGTGTTGTAGTAAGGAGCCAGACTGGTGTGAATGTATGGTGAGTACTGCTTGCTGGAAAGACAACAGAACCAAACTAACAGTGTTGCAATTTCTGTTAACCTTTCATCCCTGAACCTCCCTTGACTACTAAAGACGCTGAATAATATTGCATTATCACGCAGCAAATATTATTTGCCATGTGATAGTCATGCATCTTTTACAGAACCAACATAGAACTAAGAATTACATGGAATAGGTCTACATGCAGTTTCTTGCGACTGAAACAAATATACATGTATCCTTACAATTCTGGTTTGACAATCCGTGTAGCCTCTTGCTCCAGGCTGGCCTTCAGGCGATTAAACTCAGCGATGAACTGCTGTTGTCTTTTGCTTGCCTCTGCTGTGGCTGGTGGCGAGACAGAATCATGAATCCTAAAGTTAATTCTAGATAAATACCCCACTTATGAATTGGACTGAGAAAGCCATTCACAAAATCTATCCACTTCATGCAGAGTGCTCGAGAATGAGGTGAATACTTGATTGATTTACCAAGTTTATTTGAAGCTGTATTGTTTTTTTAAATTGCAGGTTTAATTGCACAACAGGTTTCACTAATGTCTTCTGGGTTAAGCTATTTAGATCTTCAATTACTGGGCTAGAGTTTTCCTTACTAATTGATGCTGACTGCCTTCATTGTCAAACTCACATGTGTTCAAGAAACAATTAAATGGAGGAATTACACAATTATAAAGCACATTGTTTTCAGTGAGTGTCACAACTTGAACATTTTCACTATTCTACTGATCAGATGAAGTAATTGAATTTAATAAATGCGGTGTAATGGACAATGTAATGACAAATCACGCACAAACATGTACAGTACACCAAAAAATGCAAAGACCTCTTACACAAAACGAAAAGATAAAGAGCAATCTTATCTACATGTACATGTAGGTGTAGTGCTACTATGTGTGTTTGCAGGTGAATGACAAATGGGTGTTTACTTTGGCTCACAGTGCTGGCTAGCCCAGCAATGGAATGTGGTGATGGGGCCAAAGGTCCCCCCATTACTACTGCATCACAACTTAATTAGCACAGCACTGATGTGACTTGACCACAATGAGTGGAAATTATTTCTGAAGTTTATTTCAAATGATTGATCCCTTTTAGGTCTTTTTGGCATCTGAACCAGTGAAAATTTTATTCAATCATTTATTTCATTTCTAGCAGGGTAGCCCCATCAGTTGTCAATGAACGGGGGCTCCGAGGAAATGAGCAAGTTTTCGAAACATGCATTTCCATTGGGGTTAGTTACCTGACAAAAGTACCAATTCAACGGTGAAAAGGGGTACTGTGTCTTTTAATTCCAGGGTTGACTTTTTTCAGTGATTGGGCCAGTTTGAAATACACCAAATGTAGCTGTTTCTAATCTTTTTCTTTAATAATGAGATATGGTTTAGTGTTTCTCCTTTCTAGACATATTTCTGTGGACTATCATAGAATTTATTTGACAATAAGATGAGATTCCTTTGATCCTTCACCCCTTCCACCAATGAAAAGAAAATCAGGTTATAAAAACTTTGGGGAACATTTTATCCAACTTTCTTTCAATCCTCAAAAGAATGTATATGCACGCTTACCACTGAGACACTGCTAAGGGCAGCTAAAGGATAAAGGATACATGTATGTACTAAACAAAGACAGGGAACTGAACAGCCCAGGGCCCCATTTCATGGCGCTGCTTACCACAGAATTACGCGCTTACGATCTCCATTCTGCGCTAACCGCGCAAGCAGAAAAATTCTGCGCTAACCCTTTAAGCACAGAATCCTTCATAATGGGATGTACGCTTTCGAACAAGCCAAAATTCCTCGCTAACCCGTGAAATACGTTCGCCATAAGCACAGAATTTTCTGCTACCGTAAGCGCCGATTTTTTGCTTGCTGTAAGCAGTGCCATGACATTGGACCCAGATGACTTGTTCTTTACGTGCGACTGGTTCACAGCTAATTTTCAGTTAGGGTGTAAATTCACTGAGCAACATGTTCTGGTGATAAACCACCGGGCCCTGGGCCCAACTTCATGGTTCTGCTGAGCACAGAATTCAACACTTAGATCAATTCTATGCTTGCAGTGATAGCGCAAAAATACCATGCTAAACATGTAAGTGCAGAATCCAAAGTGCTGGGATTTATGCCTGGGCATAACCCAACTTTCCTTGCTAACCTGTCAATTGGCTACCTCGTAGCGCAGAATTTTAGGCGACAGTTGGCACCCAATCTTAGCTAACAGTAAGCAGAGCCACAAACATTGGTCCCTGATCTAAACGTCACCAACAGTTGCTGTCTAAGCATGGAATGATATGAAGCCAGGCTATTACCGCAATGACTGCGACTTTCCACGGCTTATACCTGTTCCTTTTTCTTTCCCCTCTTTCCGCCCCCTGGCACGTTTCCTTAGTCCCGCCTTTCTACCTTCATTATCCTCTTTGGCCGGTTCTGTTTGGTCAGCGTCCACTGGCTGGCTCTCTGGTTCCATCTCGTCAGCCTTGGGTTGTTCCTCATCCAGTCGTTGTATTGTTTGTTGCTCCTGCCAAGCAAAGGTGATTTTCTCTGAGCATGACATATAACAAAGGGTGTCTACACAGCAGTAAACTTCTCATACTCCCCACAGGATCTTTTCATTTCTCACATATTTTTCCTCGACACAGCAAAACTATTCCATCCAACAATAAAATGCAGGAATCAATAACAAATCACATGGCATTTGACATTACATTTTAGTGTCAATCATTTCTGGTCTTCAGTATCGAACCACCAATCAATATGAAAGTGAAAAAAATCTGGAAATTACCTGATGTATTAAAAATGGCAAATACCCTTATGGCACATGTGTCATAACTCACGTACCAGTCAGTCCACACACAAGTTGATCAACCTACATGTATGAGTTGGTTTTCATACAAGTTGGTTTAATCAACTTGAACCTACATGTATGCCAAGTATCAGCTTGTACATATACAAGTAGGTATGTACCACTTGGCACACATGTAGGTACAAGTTGATCAGCGTTCATCCAAGACCCAGCTGGGGCATGCCCAACTTTGTTCACAAAGCCCACATTTTGGAGCGAAACACTTTTTAAGAAAAAAAAGACTGAGGCAAACAATGCCTTGATAGAGTATTGTAAAACTGTGATGAGATTCAACCAAGCTCTTTAATTGCACTCTTTTTTTATATTTCACTGTGCTGGATGAGTGAAGTAGGGTATGCCCAACTATTACGACAAAGATGGTCTGCCCTGACTAGGCCCACACTGTGTGTTACAATGGTTGGGGCATTCCCTATGATTGTTGATCAATGGTTGATCAAACAAGGTGCCTTCTTAGGTAGATGGCATAGATTGAATCCACAGTGACGATGGATTTGATTATAAAATTGGAATAATGAAAGAAACAATGTTCCTTTCCCGCAACTTTCATCAAAGTCTTCTGTAGATTCCCCGTACATGCTGTACTTCTTCTATTTTCATTTTTATCTAAGTTTCATTTAAGACATTTCAGTGTTTGATCCATTACTTTTGTGAATCTGTTTCCAAACAGACTTGACTTCTAAAGACAGGAACCAAAAAATGCAGGTCTCCACTTGTATTCTCCTTAGGTAATTAAATTCACTTGCAGAGTCTTAACAGTTCATAGGCTGAACTACGGAGAAATTAATCACACACAAATTCACATGACCACTGGCAGTAAGAGATTGTCTGACCATCGTCTGTGGTCTGACGCAGGAGTTTGTCTGACAGTACAAATGTCAAATGCAGTCTAGAGTCATAGTAACCCGAAATTCTCAATATCTATGAAATACATGTAGGCCTAAATGCGGTCAATAACAACTCTTTTCAGCATAACTTCACTCCGAGGGGTATCGCTGACTTCACTGCATTGAAAGAATAAGATAAATTTGTTGCCTGGCCATGTGATTGGCCCACATTGCGTAGGCCACCATCAGGACGATCATATTTCATAACATTTTCCTTTGCCAATTGCTATCTGTAAGGTTTGTATAAACCTTATTCTGGAAGTACACAGGCTGATCATAATTTCAAATTCATGAATTCCTGGATTCCCCCAGAAACAATCAAATGTAGATGACAAAAAGGCAGTCTACATCAACCATACCTCAATATCCTCTGTTGCTTGCTGTTCGGACATCTTCACAGCCGAGTAGAATTTGCCTAAGTTAGTTCTCCTGCCGCGGTCGACGCCAGCAAATGTCAAGCAAAGGCAAGCTTTTTCCTGAAGGCCTAGGCCTACACCATGTATACACAAGCGACTGACGTTCACTGAACTTGAAGTTTCTGTCAGAACGCACAGAAGTCTGCTTACTTATGTCAGAAATCTCCTAAAGGTCAATCCACCGATGTCTAAAGATATGAAGGCAATAGTTCAGTTCAATAATAATGCTGCTATAGCGCCCTGGAGACAAAATATGCGCATTTTGCGAGCCTACGAGGATCATCAGCGTGCATCAACACACCCCATCTGTTGCAAATCGGTCGATTGTTGCATAGCGACACATACACCCACGACTGTTCCTTGGTATTAATAAAAGTCTGTTAAATACGTTTAGATAAAGTCTGACATAATGAATTGCAATTGACCCTCGAAACACTTTATTTTCTGATTGATTTATATATAATACTTCATTTTCATCACAAGTAAATATGAATTAATGTGCTAGTTTTAAAATTTAAAAATTAAATTCTAATGCACAAAATAAAACAGCCGTTCGGTTGTCAGGCAGATCACAAGAGGGCGCGCTGGCAGTTCGATAAAGACCAACTAGTGGTTGATTCGTGACGTGCCATGCGCATGCATGTGCAGTGAGGTAGTGAAGTGCGAAGAAGTCGGAACGACCCTAGTCAACCGGTGTCAGGTCATTAGGCCGAGGGAAAGAAGTGGCCGCAGGAAGGGCAAAATAGCTAAATAAAAGTGAAAACGGTCGTTTACTAGTGACAGATTGTAATTTTTCCGGCATTTTTCGTATAACTAGTCCATTCCGACCCGAAAACCTCGATAGGCTAGTCGCGATCGGGTTAATTGACTAGACTAGTCCAACCATCATGGTCGACAAGCGTGCCTTCGATCAGGAACTGCAAGGATGGTTAACTATCGTCCTTGGTCGAACTTGTCCAATAAATGTTTTACCACAGACATCGTTCATAATTATAACTACACGCCCTACAGCATATAGTGCCACCTGGTGACTCTTTGGAAGAGGCATTTTTCAGTGGAAATGCAAGATTATGGCAAGAACTTTAGTTTTCTTATCAATTTTATATGTGCAGTTTTTTTATTGACCCTTCCCCGAAAGCACCCCAAATATAGTAGTAACTTAACCATGTTCTCCCCTCTAAAAGCAGCCGCCCGTCTGTACGTAAACTATGCCCATGCACAAAGTCAGGTACACGTACCGTAGGTTTTGTGAACAAAGACTCCGAATTGCAAGCCGCAAGTCCTAAATTTGTGAATTATAAAGTACGTGTACCTCTGTGACGGTTCGTCTTATTGTAAATAATCCATGGGATCACAAAATGTTAATGAGGACCCGCGTAAAAATCCAGCTATGCCCCTCAACATTACAGGGCTATGCAGTGAGCAGCTTAAGCAAGAAAAATAGTTTGATAACATATTTGTTATCATTTCAGAGTGTATACTCGGACTACTTTCCTGTGCATACTTCAAGCGAAATCTAACAACAATGAGAAATTTATCCAGCCGGTAAATGTAAGGTTAGCGCTCTCACACACGGGTATAAGTTCCACGGACGTCTTAAACAAAATTCTGGACTCGAAATGGATACTGAATGGAGGCACAAGCACCCATTTACCCTACCGAATACAAAGGCGATGGTTGGCTGGCTTGCCACTCTGATGCCACGAACAAATTATTTTAATAAGCAATGTCGAGCAAGCGTTTTTATTACTCTTGTAGGCGGCACATACGTTGGCAGCTTTAATGATGACCTCTGCGTGTTGATTTATTACATTAAGGATTTACGAGTCCAGATTTTCATATGAAATCCGTGCGAGTGTTGTGAATTATACCTGGTGTGGAAATTCCTTTGTTCTCCTATGGTTAAGAAACCTGAGACAAAATGCTCTTATTTCTCCCACCTTGATCACTCCTTCGAGCTGGTTTTGTGAGGATGATCTCTGGGACTGTTTCTATTCATTTTACCACCAGTAATCCGAGCCCCTAAAAATGCTTCTGAAGCCGTTTTTTTCTCGAAGAAGGGGTGTGCGCTATACAGGGTATCCTAGAAAAAACCAAACCCTGAGGAAAGGGGTTAATATGCCCAAACCATGAGATATGATTACAATGTATAAGGATCTCTGAAAAGTACAAGCAGTATTCTTTCTAATGATACCTTGATGGTATCCCTCCTGTCATGCATGACTGAACACCATTGTCTTGAAACTTTACAAGCTTTTAGAAATTCTTAAATAATGAAACGAAACATATGGTTTTGCAAAATTTTCCCAATTCACCGTAAATACAAGAAGTTGAGCAGTTTTCATTCCTTATAATAAACTACGATTGTAATTTAAATTCCTACATCATATTAATGTTTGAATTTAACCGTCGGCAAGATTTTTCCCCTTATAGCCTTTAGCGGTCTTGCAATGTCTGAGCAGAGCTTAGGCTTTTGAATTGGTCCTCCGCCAGTGACATCAACTTGGAGTTTCACGGTGGACTTCCAACACTCTCGCTGAAGAGTGGATCAGTTCCAGTCGTCTTCATCTTGTGAGAGATTAAAAAAAAACCTGTATACTATTTTTCTAAAATGACGAACCATTAAAACCAGTCAGGCGTTTGCGTCCAGTCCCCTTATTATTAAAAACATTCCTGTGCACAACAGCTTCTGATGAGATAATAAATAAGAAATGTAAAAGGGTTTGCGGGGCAGGTGCAACTTAAAAATCAATAGGTCATTTTCAATTGGAATCAGACTTTACCTCCAATTTGGCGGCTTGTTGCAAGTCACAACTCTTTTTACGAACGGTGGCCCCAAACGGCCATGCGCAGTGACACCACTTTGGCATCTGCACGTACAATCTCGGGTCCACGGTATCTGCATCATTACCACCTGAACAAAACGAAGAGGAAGTTTAGTATTTACATGTAAACTCCAGCTTGGCTGGGGCATTTCTGCCTTGAATGACAAAAATGATTTACCCTATGATATACCAAGGATTATCGACGATAAATTGGCATTCCAGTGAGCTAATAGCCCTCCAGTGCAGTAGGAATATCAATGATGAGATTCAACAGGTATCTTTGAAGGCAGTGGATATTTTGCCATGGCCAGCACAATTTCTAAAACAATATTCTGCTGATAGCCTTGTTCTGATTGGTCCATTTATGATGTCACCATTGCCAGCATGCCCGTCGATGCTATTTAACAGTTTTGTAATAACACCGACACTGAGAGAAGTTCTCCGTAAGAACAAGCTATCGATGCCGGTACCCATCTAACCGTGTATTCTCATGGTTTGAACTGGACCGTATAGAATCCCCTAACGTGGCGCACTACGATGCCAATATCATTGTGTTGAAAAATGTCAAAATTCTTGGAACGGCGCCCTCAAATCAGAAAATTTCTTATTGACATTTCAAAACGTTTTTCAAAGTCGATAAGCTCTGGAAGTATCATTATTTTCACTTAAACAACCCAACTTCAAGTCTGACGAAAAATATTCTGTTCTTTTTGGGCACATTTTAATATTTAAGAGTTCCTCTTGCACGAGAAAAAAATCGGAAAATGGAGCTGCAATAAAATTTCATCTGAACTTTGAAAAGGAAAAGAAGCTTGAGATTTATGCAAGGGAATACCGGGGCTTGATCAAATGTCACTTACTTTGAAAATAATGGAGGTAAAAATATTGCTCTTAACAGCGAAAAATAAATGGGACGCGTTAGGTATCGCGCCGCGTTTAGGTGCATGTACATCAACAACAGTGACGCCATAACCAATCCGCACAAGGTTGCCGAACGAATGTTGTTTTGGAACCTTTACCAACGACGGCAAAAATATCCACTGCCATATCCAAGGAATATATCAGATTTAGTGAAGATTAATCTGCCCAAATTTACATTAACATCAACATGTACAGCTCACAAGTCAATTCAATTCAATTCACATTTATTTCCATACTCTTACGGGAGCAAGATAAAGCACAGGAAAGTCATGAAATCCGTGATGTCATTGTATAACACTGTACATGATTGATTAATAAAAACATTAGTCACAGAAATCAGAGTGATGAAAAAACCAACTTACAAAGGAGAAAATAATAGCAGAAGCATCACGGAATTAATGAGTATGGAGGCTGTTCAGGGAAGCCAGGGCTTATGGGGAACAGCCTTTGGACAGACATGACAAACTGAACAAAAACAAGACAGACATGGCAGACAGGACTCTGATCATGCCAACTCCCAGAAAAGGTTTGGACTAAAGAACAAAATCTGATGTTAATTATATATAATGGGTTTGCCCTTACCCAACGTATATAAGCACTGAGCATACAGTGTTTATTAATATACGTTGGGTAAGGGCAAACCCGTTATATATAATTAACAAAATCTGAACTCACCAAATATCAGAGTGATAACCACAGCAACTACGATGGTCAGTAAGCAAGTTATTGTCGGATACCAAAGTCTAGAAACCGAGTAGAGAGGCCTCAAAATTGGACCACTGCAAAAAAAATCATACTAACAATAAAACGGAAAATACGACTGCAGTAACTTTAAATTAATATATTAACATAAAATTTCATGGCAACCTCCAAATATATCCTCAGAAAACTTGTTAATGATGTTATTGTATAATATCCATTATTTAGAGAAAACTTTTGTACCTTTGCTGAACCGGATCGGTCGGTAATGGCGAGAACGTGGAATTTTCCAATGAAGTGGTGGGACCATCAGCTGTGATAAAGGTCGTTGTCATGGTTTCAAGGGTTATGTCTGACATGTTCGATGTAGGGGGCACTGGGCAGGCATCAACGGACAGTGGCAACAGACCAGCCAGTCGATTTCCGTGAATAACATTGCCGATTCCCAACCAGATGCCCACCGTCGCTCCGACAACGTAACCAAAGAATGCCCCCTGAAACATTATAGTTTCATATAGTTCGAACTTAACAAGAAAGACTTGTCACCTGACCTAGCTGCATTGCCTGGTAGGTGCGTGCGTTTATTACCTAACCATACCCACGCTGAATTATAAAAAAAACGCTACAAACAAGTACTTTAGATTAGTAATTAGTAATAAATGCAATCCTTCATGAAATCAGTTAAACCTAAAACTTATTTCGTGACAAAAAAACACTTTTCAAGTGTACATAATTCGTAGTGATAGTACTGAATACTCTTAATTACCTTTGCCTTACATCGTGGGGATAACGCTCCCAGAAGGTAAATACCAAATAAAGGCCCACCAACGGCTCCAGCAATGGCAAGTAACGCCTGTGATGCATTGAAATTGCACAAGGGTTATTTCAGGGCGCGGTGTCATAGGTTCTGTGAGAACAATACACCAATAAACCCCCTTTTTGATTACATTACTGTTTAATAATAAGTTGGTCATAATTTGTTGCTTCTTACTTTGTCCTCGCACATCACCACCTCAATGGTAGGAAACATGAGGCATATCAAAAATCGGAAGGTGCGCTGTTGCCAAGGTTTGCTCGATGCCCGGAGACGCGATTAGATTGCGTGCATTGAGACGGAAAGTAGTAATGCGCACGCAGTTTGGAGCCTACTTGAAGGCACCTTTTCCATTACGCACCTCAACATTTTCGTCAAGTGTTGCCTATCTGTCAAAATCGCTTCCGGGGAGATTCTGACGGCCGAACGAAATGCACACATGTGTTATGTTAATGGTGTTGATTTTTCTGTCCGTGACAGTGAAACGCGTGAACGCATCGCGTGCGCAACGCACTAAAAAAATTACATTATGAAAAGGCGCCTTTATCCGTCAATACTTTGCGAACATGAGAGACCACTCGACAGCAGCCTTGTCCTAAATTAAAGGGCTCCTTCCGCGATTATCTGTTCTAATAATGACACAGACAGATCGTACCCATAGGATAGAGGTTAGGGGAGCTTTAGGCCCAATCTCACTTAGCAGTAAAACGCGCTGACAAAATTCATGCAGTTAAGAACGTTTAGTTATAATAAGTAATTGAAGTCTGGCATCGTTTTTGTCTGTGTTCAAGCAGCTTGAAAAGGTTCCCACGTCATTCCTGCTTTTTACAGTACTGGTTTACTTACAGGTACCGCACTGCCAATGAGGGGAATCAGGAAAGTTATCCCGAACGTGATGATGGCAACAAACGTAACTTGAGAAGAAACAAAACCAAGGCACAATAGTAAAATCGTATGATGGAATCCACGCAATGATAACAAACAGTTGCAATCTCTCAAGCTACCACCTTATCTTAAACATGTTTGAGTCAAAAAAATCCACCGATTATCTATCACCGTAACATACCAAGGACTTTTAGGACCAACGTGTATTTCTCATCAGTAAGATTCTTGCACAACTGTTTGACTCCATGCTCTCCAATTAGGATGGCCATGCCATTAAAGGCAGACGACAGGGTACTGCGAAAAAGAGGGAAAGGGTTTAATAGAGCTTGATACCCAGCAAGAAAT